CGTGACTTGTCTGACAGAACGGAATCATGATGACGATGATCATAATCTTGATGTCACTGATGAGATAAGTGAGTTGTCAACGATGACGAATGCTGATCAAACCTCCTTTGTGCCAGGAGATGGAGAGTTAAATATTATTCCTATATTATGCCACTTGGAGTCTTCAGGAGACGAGGAAAGGTTAAAACTGGAGATCCCACCCTTGCGTTATAATTATGGGCCTAGGACTTCTGTTGATATTTCGGCATCTTTGACTTCATCGTATCTGCCATTCGGAGCAAGTTGTGGTGGATTGACGTTTTATCCCCATGATGTGGAAGGTAAATCCCGAATAGGATATGACCAGCCCTACGACGTGTTATACATGTTCATGTGGATTAATTGGATGAAGTTTATACTACCGTTAGGTCATGATACGATAGGTAGGGGAATCAAGAACCTGATGGGAAGGTTCAGGTACACAATTAGTTTGATAAGTCATATTCATGTTGGAGGGCGTTAGGCGTACTGCTGTAAGTCCTACTCGTTCTTCTGGTATGGATCAGGGGATAAGAGTGAACCCTAAATTGAAGTGTCAGAAGGGCTTGTTTTGCATGGAGGGATTTTGAAGTCTTTGTTTATGAAAATCCCTCCATGTATGTATATTTGTGTTATGATATGACTGACTCTTTCTGTTGATATTTTGGTACTCTATTTTATCCCATTTCGGGATTTTATCATTTGTATCTTGTTATTATTTCTATATTTTGTACTTATATTGAAGTTTTTATGTTTCCTTCTGAACTATATATGTGTTGTTTAAAATTGATACTTAATATGGCTACAGCCATATTTGGATTTGATACTCTAGCAACAGCTGTCTGAGACTAAATGGAAGCACTTATTCTTCCAGTAACGGAACCGATTGTGGTGATTAGAAATTTGGAGGTGTAATATTGTTTTGGTAATTGTCTGAATTTCCTTTTTTGATTAAATATAGAACCGTTCTTTCACAGGATTATCGTTTTTGGACTTGGACTGGACGAGACGCGTGTGAACCTACACCTTTCGGTTTCAGAGCGGACTGCGAGAGTAATAAAGTTTTTCTATAGTGAGGCCCAGGGACTGTAAGAAAGGCGAATAATACCTGTAGCTAGTAAATTGTCAAACTCACGTTTAGCGAAAGCTAATTTGTTCGATGCCAGTCGGTGAAGTCGTGCAGTGACTGGTGGTCGGCGGGTGACCATGTGGTGTACCATATGATGAGTCACTGATAGATTCTCCTCGAGTGGCATAGTTAACTGGCGAAATTTTTCGAGTAAAGTGTGGAAAATGTCATCACGCGAATGAAATGCCCATTGTGGGCGAGTACTTGCAGCCTTTCGAGATCGCGAACGGGCTCGTTCGACGTGGTGTTCGGGTATGTTGGAACGATCTCGGAAATTCAGACGGCTGTAAATACATCAACCTCTATCAGTCTGAGTCTTCACATGATTGGGATCGAGGTCGACCTTGGTATCTAACGTGAACGCAACTGTGTAGTTGTCTCAGTCGCCAGTTCGCGCGATTACTCTACCTGCCACGAGTGCAACCTGGGTAAGTGGCATGTCCTCTGACAGAGCGGCGACGGTAGGCTGAACATGAGCTGTTAGTGATTCTAGCCACAATTCTCTGACGATGTCAGAGTCAGACGCCGTTGGTCCTGCTAATGATTGCAGACGCATGAGGTGATGGCTAGGTTTAGCTTCACCCAGAGGGTGACGTGCTAAAAGTGTTCTCAAACGTTCCTCCATCGATGGGAGGAAATGTGTAAGAATCGCCTGCTTGAGACGATCGTATATGTCTGGGACACCGGAGTTGGCGATCACCTCACGAACGGCGGCTGTGTGATCCCCCGGTAGAGATTCCAGGGTGTAGGCATACATATGCCTCTGGTTCGTAACGTGGCGGATCTCAAATTGAGCTTCCAGTGCCAGACCACTGGATCGTGGGGGATAAAGGGTACAGGTCGAAAACTAAGAATCTCTATCTATGAGTCGGCTAAAATATTTTTTGGTCTATCTACCATTTACTGACGCCATTGTAGTTATAATAAATATCTATATATGAAAATATCAAAATACATATATAAAACAACAGTTAAAATAGTAAGAAAATGGGACAGAAAAATGACAGACTCAAGGTAAATACTGCGTATTCGAATTTGTAGCTCACCAGTATAGCGATTCGAACGATATACTTCGCGGGAGAACAAATGTTACTCCCGGACTCAAAGAATCAAGGAAGAAAAAAGATTATAGAGGAAGAAGTATATTTGATACTGGCCTCGTAATATCGAAATAATATCAAAGCAAGAGGGCGTACAGAAAGCTAACGTCCACGCAGGAGACATGCGAAAAGGGGAATGGGGATAACACACTTAGCGCGCGAGAGATAGTCTTTAGTACAGACAAACAAGAGTTGTACAGTATAGCAATTATTGTCAGAATTAAGTAGAATAATAAATGTTTATATTTCAGCAGTTGTGTTTTCTTCGTGTAAGTAAATCACTACAAGCTCTAGACTTTTCTACTTATTATTCCCCACATTGAAACTAAATGATCTCAGGTCTGGTAGTGTGATAGCTGCTAGTATCCAAAAAGCCCTGAAAGGAACGTTCTCATTCAAACGACGGGAAATACAAACTCACAAACAAGTACCAAACGACTAGAATTAAACGGTAGAATAGCTAGACCCCTGTTCATCGGAAACCACCGAACACCTGGAACCGTGCCGGAAGAACGAAAATCGATCGCAATGAAACTAAGTGGTTTACGCAAGATCGTGAAAAAGATATTGGGTATTGAACTGCAAAGTGGAGCGTCACCTTAACAAATTGTAGCGCATTTGAAAGCATACTGTAAGAGCTCATGCAAATTGTGTTTCTGATTGTTTTCGGTTGCTTTCACTATCAATTGTACGTTCATTCTCTGTTCAATCCAGTCGTCGGTTCACATTTCTCTTGTTATTTCCTTTTCTAGGTATCCCCACATACTGCTCCTCACATTCCTTCAGCGACAGGTGCCTTCTGACCAAACGCAAACCTTCCAAGAGCTGAGGCTAAAAAGCCACTCAAAACTTATCTGTTAGTCTTATGTTTTTGCAACGAGACCTTGGGACGTAAGTTAAGGCCAACGCCTTCTTTAATACGATTTATTAACCATCATACATCGTTTTATCACACCCTTTTCAGTCATTGAACCATTCAACTTTCTGATACCACTATATTTTGTGAAATACTGGTGTCTGCCCATACACATTTTATCAGTATTCCGTATTATGAGTTGTTCTTATGTGCGAAACTGGCTAAGATTGACTTTTTCGACAGAATCCACATCTCAAACAAGTTGCAAACAAACATTTGACATTCCAATATGAGGATTTTATGCAGCAGTAAGTTTGTACATATTCTAATAGCCCGTTAGTTTAGCCACAGATCAGCAGTTAAGTAGGCCATTTTCTAGGGTAGCCATCGTTTAATCAGTTTGTATACTACTTCCGGTTACTGTTTATTTACCAAATAAATTAGCGATGCAAATGAATCACTAATGTATATTTACTGTCTAGTTGGATAATATTATTACTATTCGCACTTATCGTTTTGTATATTCATTTCCAGATCTGTCCCGATGCGTTTGTACACAATGACAAAATGTTACTTTGTTGTTGTCACAATCATATTCTTCCTAATTATTGGGTTTTCTGTGATTCTCGGTGTAGTTGGTATGCTATTATTATTGTAGAATTTATTTATTGAAGGCCCAAATGTCTCAAATCGTCTTATTGTTTCGAGTCCAAATCACCCAAGTATAACTAGTTTAGAAGCTAGTGTATACCAGGTGGATTCACCACCTTTTTCAGTTTTCCATCGTGAACTATGGTTATCTGCTATAATTAATCGTGCACCGTTCGAGCGTACGTAATTTGTAATCCTTTTCTCTTACTACTTATATTATGTTATCTATAGTTTTGTAGACAACTACATATGGTCTTACTTTCAGATTACTAATCCAATTGTTTTCTTGACAGACAGACAGACAGATAGATACAACGCAGAACTTCGTACGTAAGTACATCAGTTCAGGTTGCCATGCCCCATCAGCACAGAGACGCAGCTGTCAGTTCAAATCCAAGAGTGATAGCGATAGTAGCAGGAGCGCTAGTTCTACTCTACGACTCAATGCTATGCCTACACCAGCAAGACCTCTGGAAGCAGCATCAGTCCTTTCAGATACACGAAGAGTAAATCGAGCTGCTTCTTTATTTTGACAAGGTGAAATTAGAATAATAATTTCACTAGGATCCTGTATGCGCGTTTCCGAGACGCAGCATACATCGATTGAGCGAGATTCTAAAGTCCTAGCTAAGGAAGCCTGTTGCCCTATTTGATATAATGTACGTTCATTAAATGCTCCAACATGTAGTCTAGAACGGGGTTTCAGGAGACCAGAAATGACGTTTCGTGAACTCGCATCGTTTGCATAAGCTGTGCAGTGTGTTGAAGGAATGTGAGTAGAGTTAGTTGTGGAGAGAAGAGAGGTATGTGTGGGATGTAGGAAAGATTTGATTTTGACCAATTTGGTCTCGCGTGATGGTACGGGTATGAGGTGGTTTGTCACTTCCCGGCTGCCCACACTGTGGAAGGTTGTTTCTTGAGGAACCTGAAAAGGAAGGTATATTAACGTTGGTTTTAGAGACCTGGGTGCTTGACCGCTGAGCCCAAGGGACAACTGCTTGAGGCCGGTCACGCACGTCCTTTTTATGAAACGTTTTTTGAGTATTATTTCCGCTCTTTCTTAAGCCCTCATTGTGCAGCCCTTACCACCGGAGACGGAAATCCGTGAGTTAGGGTGAGGTGTGACATCTTTACGGTCGACCTTTTCTAACCTTTCCTTCCTTGTGAGTAGGCAGCATCGCTGCAGATGCTGGTTGTCCGAGGGAAACACCTTACTGCTGTCACACCACTCTGCAGTCAGCAGTATGACTTCGCCCTCAGACCTTGAGTAGCTGCTTTTAGTCTCATCTTTCTCCAATCCACCTGCTTGGCATGGTAAACCTTCAGGAACATATATGCCAGCCAGTATAGCTCGGCTGGGTCATAACGATAGTCAAGCCCGACCACGACGTCAATGTAGCAGCTACGGTCGGGAATTGTTTTCTTGACTCCATTTTCATATTATTTTGATAATTTCGGTCGAAAGTAATATAAAGCAGGAAGTAAAATTATTAAATAATTTGTTTAGTGTTGAATCACCGATGCAAAGATTTTCATCGTCTTTTGAAGACAATTTACCACTTCAGGGATTTCGGTGACGCTAACCACAGGCCTGCGTATTGTTAGTCCAAACTTACGATGTATACAGGTTTATTGTAGTGATTATCACATGGCTGTTAGTCACCGTCGTGAGTCTATAAATTGTCCCCGCTATTACGGTTTGCTTGAAGCGCGACAACTGATTGGTTGCCTGGTTATCTTACAGTTAGATACTAGCGACTCGAATGTGCATGAAATGGTTTAACGTCTAAAATTACACTCGGTAGTTTATATGTTATAGGTAGAATATGGCCAGTACTGGAATCCAGGAGACGCGTTTCATCCTACTTGGCACTCATCAACTGGATTTCCTTGCTATCAGTGTAAGAAGAAGCCAAGTAAATTTGAAATGTATTTAGTGAAAACTCAGATTATGAAATATGTTCACCTAGTCTATATTACCCTACTTGCATTTGTTGTGTTCAGCAATCCAAGCCGGTTATAGCGTCCACTATACCAGTACTGATATTCAAACTAGTGTTTGAGCCCACTCCCTTTCACTTCAAACACGATGCGTTATACATTTACTTTGTAAGTTCAAATAACTACTCACTTATGAAATAGGTATGATAAATATCACTTGTTAGAAAAGGCTTAAATTGTGCCAACAATGACCAATCGGTGTTCAGTTAAACATATCAGCAACAGGATCATTCGAAGCCCTTCTCACAATAATAGTACCAATCCTTAAATTCTTTAGCGAACAGTCCATGTAACTGCTTTTGTTCACTTCTTTCCCATAAATTAACTTTGTTATTATTTCCAAAAATGTATAGATAGATATTTTCCATTTATATAGAAAATGCCAGAGTATCAGTAAATATCAATACATCTATTAAAGTACAAATACCGTCCCATTTAGCTACTGTTAATATTGGAAGTGCAACATCTAAATCAGATCCAGATTATGAAAATTCAATGGTGCAAATGGGTCCAGTTTACAACCGTACTGTTCAAGTGAATTGTCCTGGTACAGTAAGCTGAATAATTTATTGATTTACTGCCAAAAATATACAATTATTCACATACATAAACTTAAAAAGAGAAAGAAAGGCGATGAAGAACTCAGAAGATTATACTTGGAGAGAACACAAAAAATGAGTTGATTTCCCAACCACCTCAAATGATAAACAGTAACCACTTCTTCAACTGATCTGCCATCCTTAACTAGTACACATTTCCTAACAACTCCATGGCCCCAGGATATACGAGGAATGCTTCAAAGACACCTATAGTCGAAAATCAGTAACCTATGAAGTATCCTATACTGGCCATGTGTCACACCCATATAGTAGGACGGAGCGAACTGTTGCACAACAGACTCGTCCTTTGGTTGTTGGGCGGATGTGTCTTGTAATCCATAAATGTTGCAAGTTGGCAAAAGCCAGTTTAGCCTTCTGTATCCGTGCTGAAATTTTGTCACACATCAGGTCATCAACACTGATGGGACTCCCAGGTTAAGTGACGCGGTCCACACGCTCAACTGCTTCACTCTGTATCACTAGTTCAGGTGCCGATAAAAGCCAGTCTTGAAGCGTTTCATTTTGGGGGATGAGAATCGCCTGCTTGTATTAAAGCTTAGGGTGATCTGAAGACTGCATATCGTCAATGTCTTTACCAAATAGAATTGTGTCATCGGCAGAGTTAAACGCTGCCTTAATGTCGAAGAATACAACTATTGTCGGTCGCAAAAATGTGTGTCTATGTCCTAGGACCTAACAAAGTGTAAATACGTGGTCTATGCATCCTCATCTAGGTCTGAAACCAGCCCAGTTTTCTCTAGTCTGCTCTTCACGAGGTTCGGTTGAGCGTCGAAGTATTATTGAGGCCAATATTTTAGACACTACATAAGTTAGACTGATTCCTCTGTGATTATCACAAGAGGAATTTTGTCCGTTCTTATAGATTGGGGCAATCAGCGGTTGAGACCAGTCAGATTGGATTACACCCAGTTCCTAGATTCTACCTAAGATCTCAGTCAATCTAACTGTTAAAACTCCACCACTATCCTTAAAAGTCTCAAGGGTAAGTCTATCACGATCCGCTGCTCTCCCTTGCTTCAGATATCCTATAGCTTTCTCAACTTCTTAAAGAGTTGGACGACTTACGTCGATTTTCTATTCAGGTTGACTGGAGATCGTGGACAACCGAGGTGTGTCTGAAGGCCAATTGAACTGATCATTGAAGTGTTCTACCCATTGATCTAATCTCCTGGATTGAGGATGAATAATCGTCCCATTCTTTTCTGAGATAGTCTCACTTACAATAGGATTCCTAATACCGGTTTCCTTGATGAGTCTGAATAGTAGTAGTCCACTGTTGCCTATCGCCGTTGCCTTTTCTATCGGTCTTTCTTTCGCTACCCACCACTGTTCGCGATCATTGCGTAGGCATTTCATCAGCCTGTGCCTAAGCTGGCTTCGCTGTTCGTCAATTTCTGAGCTAGGTGGGATGAGTTTACGGGCGTCTATCAGTTCGGTAGATGCTACTGAAATCCACGGCTTCTCCCTAACCTTGTGGTAGCCCCGAAGGGTCCACTGGTGGAGTTATTATGTGCTCATAAAATCAATTGATTAAGTTTTCAAGATAATGAGTTAACGTACGTCGGTGTTTGATGTGAAAGGTCGTCGGTCTGAATCACATTGCGTGAACATCAATGAAATGTAGTAATATCTTACTGATGAGTTCTATATAGGGCCCCTACTCAATCTCAATGAATTATCAATTTTATGGAGAATGTTATTTCAACAAAATGGGTATCCCACAAACATTTCAAACCGATATTCGGCAGTTTTATCAAATGGTAAATGGTTTATTTCTCTAATTGGGAGAGGAAAATTCACTTTGTAATACAGTAATTTTCATGTATTTCTGCTTTTTATTTGTTTCCTTCAGAGATGTGATGAACTATTTCTATTTCATCTTATTCCAATCGATTTCACCATTTATAAATTCCGTGTAACCTTCTATCACGAATTAATTAATAATCACTTAGAATTTGAAGATTACAAAGACAAACATTCATTATTTAAAATAATCAGTGTGGATTTCATTCTTCAATATTATACTACTGAATTTACTTATATGGAATTGGTAGTAAAGTTTATGCTTTTTGTTATTTCAGAACTAATTACTGTAAGTTAACTAATGTTTTTATGATTATTATTACTGTTATATAATGACCGTCGTTAGAGAACTATTGTATTTTATTTATTTCAATACAACTGTAGGGTTGGTCACTAGGTACGCTTGAAGCTATTACGAGTTCATCTTAGTTGATAAACGCGAACGAGACAATTACCAGCGTCCAGATAGGCTACCTTGAATCCCAAGCTGAAGATAGAAGGCTTTGTAAGCGTAGAAAGTATATTCTACAAACACCCAGCAATCACAATACAATCAAGCACACAACTCTCGTTTATTTATACATCATAGAAACGTCCTTGGGACAGTTACGAAAATAGCACACTAAAATACACAGCAGCCAATCACAGCCATGGATTTTCCTAGTGGGAAATGAAACCTCAAGGTCAACTGATCAGCCCATGCTCGCAAACATGAAATCCAAGATAAGGCATTTATCAAGCGAGTTTTGGGGATCTAACATCCCTAGCACTCCTTCCCTTTTTAATAGCGTGTGCTCCTAGGGTCGACTTGCATCTTGACTGTCGTTCGTCGCTTTCTGAGAGGATACCTTCTGGAACGAAGAACAGCTTGCTGCCGAGTTTCTTCTCGTGGCGGGGCTGCCGGTAGGTTGAAGATATCGAGCAAGATGTCGAGGGGAGTGCTTTCTGCTCTTGGTGGGCGATCTGGGGCTAGCGGTCTGTGTATCTGATTTCGATGACGTGACCATTTATCACCTCCTACCTCTACTTCGTACATAACTCGACCAACTCTTCTGACCACTCGCGCTTCTGCCCAAGGATCATGGTTCGTTCTGTAGTCGCGGGCAAACACAGGGCATCCTACTTCGTAAGCGGATTGTCTTTGCGGCTTTGTCTCTACTGATGTTGATGCATTAGTCGGATGCATCAAGCTGTGGATCGTTTTCAATCTTCTTCCCATCAGGATTTCTGCTGGGGACTTTCGCTCTGTTAACGACTCATTTGGTGTCGTCCGATAGACGTACAAGAAATTTTGTATCGCGTCGGCTGGTGTCCCGTTAAATACCATGCCAACTGGTATCACAACCACATGACACTGAATCATATACGAAGAAGCTGATGACGGAGTTTTCAACCTTTTTTCAACTTGGATTAGGTCGGTGCACTGTCATGAAAGCAACACTTTGGTTGAAACCTGGGGCTAAGCCTTCTTTCCATCCAAAGGGACCCGTACCTTATGCAACATTAGCAACAGTAGATGAAGAGTTGGATCGCCTCCAACGACAAGGAGTTATTACTCCCGTTTCTTACTCTAGTTGGGCATCACCTATAGTCGTTATGAAGAAGGCCAACGGCACGATACGTACATGTGCTGACTTCTCTACAGGTCTTAATGCAGCTACCAGGAACACCAAGCGTAAAGCGTGTTGTTGCTCTATCTGCACTAGGTAAAATCAAGTTGATGATTTTACTCGGATCCTGTATGTGCGTTTCGGAGACGCAGCATACGAAATTCTAAAGTCCTAGCTAAGGAAGCCTGATGCCCTATTTGGTACAAAGTTCGATCGTTGAAAGCTCCAGCACGTAGTTTAGTACGGCGTTTCAGGGGACCAGGATTAACGTTTCGTGAACTCGCATTGTTCCCATTAGCGGTACGAGGTGATAAAGGAATGTGAGTAGAGTTAGTCGTGGAGGTAAGAGAGATGTTAAGAAGTGTAGGAAGGATTTGTTTGCGATCAATTTTGGTCTCGCGTGCTGTAACGGTTATGAGGTCGGTTGTCACTTCCCGGCTGCCCATACCGTGGAAGGGTGTTTCTTGAGGAACCTGAAAAGGAAGGTATATTAGTGTTGGTCTTAGAGACCTGAGAGCGTGACCGCAGAACCCAAGGGACAACTGCTTGAGGCCCGTCACGGACGGCATTTTTATGGGTCAACTGCTCTCTTGTTTAAAAGGCCTTACCGCCGAAGGCGGTAGTCCATGAGGTAATTTGAGGTGTGACATTTTTACAGACGACCTTTTCTAACCCTTCCTTTCTTCTGAGAAGGTAACATCGCTACAGATGCTGGTTGTGTGAGGGAAACACCTTACTGCTGTCACACCCCTCTGCAGTCAGCAGTACGATTTCGCCCTCAGACCTTGAGTAGCTGCTTTTAGTCTTACCGTTCTGACGTGGCTGTATAGACCACATTTTCATACTACGACAGGTCCTGGAACACAGACACACATTTAGGCGTCCCACAATGGTTGTTTTCCTGGACCTTAGGGCGGCATTTGACTCAGTGGATCGTGAGGTTCTGTGGCAGTGTCTGTCATTGAAAGGTGTACCAAAGAAGTACATTAACCTCATACAAGCTCTCTACTCGAACACCACTGGTCGAGTGAGAGCTTATGGCGAACTGTCATCGGAATACTCTACTTCAAGTGGTGTACGTCAGGGCTGTCCACTCTCTCCATTCTTCATTAATTTAATCATCGACATGCTGCTAGATGTAACCTTATCCTCGTCTGAATTTTCAGGAGTAGACCTATTACCAGGTGGCTCGCTTATTGACTTAGAATATGCCGATGACATTGTCCTACTTGGTGAAGACGCAGACAAAATGCAGTCTTTTGAGCACCTTAAGCAACAGTGCAAGCATGTTTCGGATGCGGTTCTCCCCCTCGAAATGCAAAATGTTGCTTCAAGACTGGGTTGCACCGGCACCTGAACTAGTGATAGGGAGTGAAGTAGTCGAGCGTGTAGACCGCTTCACGTATCTTGGGAGTCTCATCATTGCTGATGGCCTGGTTACTGACGAAATCTCAGCACGGATAAAGAAGGCTCGATTGGCTTTTGCCAACCTGCGTCACTTATGGCGTAGGCGAGATATCTGTTTGCTGACTGAAGGACGAGTGTACTGCGCAGTGGTTCGCTCCGTCTTACTTTATGGCTGTGAAACATGGCCGCTAAGAGTAGAAGATACTCGTCGGTTATTGGTTTTCGATCATAGGTGTCTTCGAAGCATTGCTCGTATATCGTGGGACACCCGAGTGAGCAACGCTGTTATTAGAAAACGGGTACTAGGTAAGGATGGCAGATCAATAGATGAAGTGGTGAAACTTCATCAGTTGAGGTGGTTGGGACATGTGTTGCGTATGCCTAACCACCGACTGCCTCGTCGAGCTTTGTTTTGTAGTGTAGGAGTAGGTTAGAAGAAATTTAGGGGCGACCAAACCAAAACATGGCAGAAATCCATGAGGTCATTGACGAGTGGACTTAGCCATGTTGGTAATTGTCGACTACCCGGTCGGGGTCCGCGAGATGATAATAATCGATGGTTAGAGACCCTTAATGGCATCGCTCAAAATCGTTCGCAATAGCGCCGGTGCATTTATTCTTTGTGTTCTCTCAAATCCTAATCTTCTGGATTCTTCAACCCCTCTAGTTTTGACTTCCTAAACTTTTCTCACTGAATCATACTTCTTGAATAATATCTTCTAATCCTAACCTCTGCGATTACTTCTAATACCCTTGCTACCTCTTCTACTAATGGATTTGAATTGACAATTATATCTCTGTGCTGATGTGGTTTGGCGACATGAACTGATGTACTTACTTACAAAGTTCTACGTTGCAACTGACTGACTGACTGACCCCGGCATGGTAGGATCTGCAGGAACATATGTTTCAGCCAATATAGCTCGGTTGTGTGATCACGATAGTCAAGCCCGACCACCACGACAAGGCAGCAGCTACGATCGGCAGTTATCCTTCTAGCTACCCGTATACTTTTATCGAATTAACTTTTCTTAACCCATTGTTTTTTAACATTTACTCAAATAACTTTTCTTTCTACTAAATACGTATTAATTTTTTTTCTCTACAAAACTGTTGTTGTTATTAGATCTGGTTTTACATTAGGATGAAAAAATTTAATCTTAATTGTTGGACGATTGAACAACATTGTTTGGCTATGTTACTGCCTCTTCTTATACTTTATAATAGTAAGTATAAAATATTTGAATGGAATATGAACTAGAATAATGATTATGCACCGCTACGCTTCGGAAAAATCCGTTCATTGGATTCAAACAGATCATGTTTCTAATAAAATCCTAACAAAAAAAATTTTGAAGGTCAATTTGCCAGTCATCAGCAACAATGCTGAGCCTAGCTTTAATGCATATCGGCCCATATCGCTATAAAAAATTAGTGCAACACAATGAAATGGTCAAAACGTATCCCACGAAAGTAGTATTAGTAGAATTTGTAACAGTATCATCAGTAGAAGAAAAAAGTAGCTCTCGTATCTAACAGAGACAAATGCAGATGAAGAAGAGCAGTGTAGCATTAGCTTATACAGTAGTCATTAAATTACAACGTAGAGGTTCGTACGTACGTATACCGGTTCTAATCACTATACCACATAAGCACAACGACGCAATTGTCACTTCAAATTCAATAGAAGTAGAGGTAGTGGAAGTATTAGCAGTAATCGGAGAGATTGGAGTTCGAAGATATTACTCAAGAAGTAGAATCTGGTGAAATAAACTTGAAAAGAGAAAGATAAAGGTGATGAGGAATTAAGAAATTCAGGATTTGAGAGAACACAAAGAATGAATGCGCCTGCACCATCGCAAACGGTTTTGAGCCATGTCATTCAGGGCCTCTAACCATCGATTATTATCATCTCGCGGACCCCAACCAGGTAGTTGACACCTACCAACATGACTCAATCCAGTTGTCAATGACTGCATGGATTAGTGCCATGTTTTGGTCTGGCCGCTCCTAGCTTTCGTCCAACCTATTCCTATATCGCAGAACATAGCTCGACGAGGCAGTCGGTGATTGGGCATTCGTAACACATGTCCCAACCACCTCAACTGATGGAGTATCATTACTTATTCTATTGACCTGCCACCTTTACCTTGGACCCGTTTCATACAACAGCATTTCTTACTCGGTTGTCCCAGGATACACAAGCAATGCTTCGGAGAAACCTATGATCGAGAACAAGCAACCTACGAATATCTTCTACTCTGACTGGCGATGTTTCACAGCCATAAAGTAGGACGGAGCGAACTACTGCGCAGTGCACTCATCCTTTAATCAGCAAACGGATATCTCGCCTGCATCATAGGTGATGCAGGCTGGCAAAAGCCAATGGAGCCCTCTGTATTCATGCTGAGTTTCGGTCAGTCACCAGGCCATCGGCACTGATGAGGCTCTCAAGATAAGTGAATCGGTCTACACGCTCGACTACTTCACTCTCTGTCACTAGTTCAGGTGCCGATGAAACCCAATCTTGAAGCAACATTTTGCATTTCGAGGGGGAAAATCTCATCACGAACATGCTTGCTTGCATTGTTGCTTAGGGTAGTCAGGAGACACTGCACGAAGTAGGACTATGTCATCGGCATATTCTAAGTCAACCAATGGATTTCCCGGTAGAAGGTCTACTCCTGAAAATTCAAATGAAGATGTTATATCTACAAGCATGTCTATGACAAAATTAAACAAGAACGAATAAAGTGGACACCTCTGACGGTAACCGCTTGAAGTAACCGATTCCGATGACAGTTCGCCATAAGCTCTAACTCAACCTGTACTGTTCGAGTAGAGAGCCTGTATAGGGTTAATGTGCTTCTCTGGTACACCTTTTACTGATAGACACTGCCACAGAACTTCACGATCAACAGAGTCACATGCCGCTTTTACTTCTAGGAATACATCCTTTTTTGTAATAGTTTTTCTACCTAATGAATTCTTATACCGGTTTACTTGTTAAGTCCGAAGAACTCTCTGCTGTTGCATTATGCCGCTGCCTTTTTCAACGATCTTGCTTTCGCTATCCACCACTTTTCACTTTATAGCGTAGACTTTTTATAAGCCTGAGCCTAAGCAGACTGATCCTCAGAGCCAGGTGGGGTGAGTTTTCGAGCATCCATCAGTTCGGTTTTCCCTGCTCGCAGATGTTATTTCTGTTTCCACCAAATAATGATAAGTTTCTTCTGTTACTGTTAGTTTATTACATACCCATCACTCGGTTCTATTTCACCTTTGGCACAGTTACGCTGATATAGTAATTTCCTAATTATTTTAATGTGTTATAGTCAAGATTTTCCTTTATATCAGTTACCTTATAGTCATATATTGAATTGCACAATTAACGAATCCTACCATCTGCTGTGTTCATTCTATCTTGGCTATTCGGCCTGCAAGCGTGCACGAACCACACTCTGGACCATTGAGTCGTTAAGTACCATTCTCAGTTGTTATCTCACTATCATCGTGTCCAGTAATTGGCCGAAGAATATCGCTACTAAGCGTATCGATCGAGATACTCGAACTATATCAGTATGATTACTTCCTAATGTTACAGTTCGATCAGACAGTCTCCAAAATTCAAAGAAACCTGTTTTTATTAATTGCATCGTATTTTATGACAAATGTTTTTCATTCCTAACAATGATGATTATTTGTAGCTCAGATGGATAATCTTAGACTTTCATTCTTTGCTTTGGGTAGTTTAGTCGTATAGCTTACATTGTTCTGTAGGTGCCACCAAAAAGTGCTTAAAAATTGTTCAATTTCAATTCATTAAAGAAGTTTCGAAAATAAAAATCTCATTCTATACATTTTGTAGATCCTTTATATCCACTACGATATTTGACAATAAATTGGTTTCCATCATGTCTTGATTATTTATTTCAAATTACATTTGTCGCTGTATTATTATTTGTTTGGTTATGTATATACCATGGTATACGAATCGTAAGTAAAACTTTAATTGTATTGTTATTATTATTATTATTATTGGGTTTATTTTGATAAACCTTTGTGTGTTTACTAGTTCAATGCTCAATTAATACGCGGAACTAAAGTCGTGAAAACTTTATTTCGTTAAAGCTAAATTGAATCAATCTCTCTTTAAAATATTCATTATTTGTGTCAGTACACTTGTACGATCTCCATGTTCATTGTTTAAAACATCTTTGAAAGTTGTTGAAACTGATTAACTTCAGTCACTTCTGGTCATCTCGTTTCTTACATTTTAGGAACCGAAAGAAGTTTTATTTCTAATTCTAATGAGTATGAAAGATGAATGACTGTGTTACGGGTCAGAAATTTCTTAATATCTATTCATCCAGCCTCTGTTCATTGATTAGTGATTTCATAAAGATAGGCTACCAAGATCAAGTTAAGCGTTTAATTATAATTCGTCTTTTCATGTCTATATAGCTATAATAATCTGGGTAGCTTATGGCGGTGTTTGATTCTCTGAGCTAGATGGTTTCGTTGTGGAGCTTTCTTTTTTCTGAATAACATCATCAGCAAAATATTTCAGGTCGAAGTTCTCAACGTATGATTTGTAGCTTTTCCTGTTGACCTCAACCTTGTGTGGTTGTTGTTTACTTCTTTATTTTGATCGTATCCCCCCTTTCATCTGATTCTCGATCCTATGTTTGTCTATAATTTTACTGGTTGACTAATAAACTGAGTCATTTTGATGTGCTTGTTGATTGTCGATTAACCAAGCTTTAAAAAATTCTTAAGTGTTCTTCGTACTCTTTCTATTAAGTATTTCAACATTTTCCCAATATAATGTATACCCACAATTGTCCTCATGTATTGACATAAAGAGGCAAACAACGAGACGTTAAAATTTAATGGCAACCAATCAAAATAAAGGTTGACAGGACAAGCTACGAGTCATACCTTGAGAAATTTGAATACTTCACCTCTACCTGAAGTTTATGCGGATGATGTTGTTCAGAAAAACATTAAAAGTTCATCAACAGAAACATCCAGTTCAGAGGACGAAACTCCACCATAATCATCCACCAGAGCCACAAATTTTTCCAGCGACTCAACCTTTGGGGTGCTCATTCCGAAAACTTATCAAACAGACTGTATTATTTTATCCAACCATCTAACACCGTTTTTAAAAAATCGAAATAAATTCAACGAAATATTATAGTGCATTTTTCAGATCTTGGAATTTGATTAGAATAAACCAGCAATCCCATGTAAATTTTTATGTTTGATTAAGCTTTAAATTACACTTGTCTGATACATAGGTCACAGCGCTGCTAATACTCAATCGTATAAACTCGAGAAGGTTTGTCAGTGCTTTGATGCAAATCTATGAAGAAATAGTTACCATTCGAATAAGTAAATGTCACATTTGAACCAAATATAAATATTATCTCAGTCCTAAAAAACGTTAGTTATGGTTTAAACGGCTGAGCAGTAGTAACTCCGCCTGTAAACCCTTCGGGGCTACTAACGGTCCCAAGCCCGGATAAAGCATCTTATAGTGTCGCGGCTAATCGAAAAGATAATGGCGACCGTCTGCTGCATCCATGCTCAGGTAACCGCATATTTCTAGCAAACACTAAATTTAAGCATAAGTGTAAGGCATCTGACCCGGAGACCCCCAAAGTCGACCCACCCATGGACCCAACTAGATCACATTGCTATAAGCCATCGGTGGAGAAGCTCTATGGAAGACTGCCGCTCATTCTGCAGCACTTGTTTAGATTCAGACCATGCTCTAGTGCTAGCGCGTATATGTTTGCGTCTTACTGGACGTAAGAAAAATAGCTCAATGAAACCTCTTAGGGCCCTACTTAATGATGATAAAGCTAAGAATATATTTCTGGAACAACTAGAAAAACTGTTACGCAGCCATGTAGTGAGTGATGGCCACCCCAAGGCAGCTCGGAATGATATCCGACAAGCCATGGAAACAGTACCGATAACTGCCAGTAGGGTAAACCATAAGGTTAGGGAGAAGCCGTGGATTTCAGTAGCATCTACCGAACTGATAGACGCCCGTAAACTCATCCCACCTAGCTCAGAAATTGACGAACAGCGAAGCCAGCTTAGGCACAGGCTGATGAAATGCCTACGCAATGATCGCGAACAGTGGTGGGTAGCGAAAGAAAGACCGATAGAAAAGGCAACGGCGATAGGCAACAGTGGACTACTACTATTCAGACTCATCAAGGAAACCGGTATTAGGAATCCTATTGTAAGTGAGACTGTCTCAGAAAAGAATGGGACGATTATTCATCCTCAATCCAGGAGATTAGATCAATGGGTAGAACACTTCAATGATCAGTTCAATTGGCCTTCAGACACACCTCGGTTGTCCACGATCTCCAGTCAACCTGAACAGAAAATCGACGTAAGTCGTCCAACTCTTTAAGAAGTTGAGAAAGCTATAGGATATCTGAAGCAAGGGAGAGCAGCGGATCGTGATAGACTTACCCTTGAGACTTTTAAGGATAGTGGTGGAGTTTTAATAGTTAGATTGACTGAGATCTTAGGTAGAATCTAGGAACTGGGTGTAATCCAATCTGACTGGTCTCAACCGCTGATTGCCCCAATCTATAAGAACGGACAAAATTCCTCTTGTGATAATCACAGAGGAATCAGTCTAACTTATGTAGTGTATAGATTGTTCGCCTCATTAATACTTAGACAAATCCTGGAACACTGACACACATTTAGGCCTTCTCTGTGCTGACGCGGTATGGCACCCTGGTCTGATGTACTTGCGTACGAAGTTCTGCGTTGTATCTGTCTATTTAGGCGTTCGATAGTAATGGTTTTCCTGGACCTTAGCGAGGCGTTTGACTCTGTTGATCGTGAAGTTCTGTGGCAGTGTCTATCAGTAAAAGGTGTACCAGAGAAGCACATTAACCCTATACAGGCTCTCTACTCGAACAGTACAGGTTGAGTTAGAGCTTATGGCGAACTGTCATCGGAATCGGTTACTTCAAGCGGTTACCGTCAGAGGTGTCCACTTTATTCGTTCTTGTTTAATTTTGTCATAGACATGCTTGTAGATATAACATCTTCATTTGAATTTTCAGGAGTAGACCTTCTACCGGGAAATCCATTGGTTGACTTAGAATATGCCGATGACATAGTCCTACTTCGTGCAGTGTCTCCTGACTACCCTAAGCAACAATGCAAGCAAGCATGTTCGTGATGAGATTTTCCCCCTCGAAATGCAAAATGTTGCTTCAAGATTGGGTTTCATCGGCACCTGAACTAGTGACAGAGAGTGAAGTAGTCGAGCGTGTAGACCGATTCACTTATCTTGAGAGCCTCATCAGTGCCGATGGCCTGGTGACTGACCGAAACTCAGCATGAATACAGAGGGCTCCATTGGCTTTTGCCAGCCTGCATCACCTATGATGCAGGCGAGATATCCGTTTGCTGATTAAAGGATGAGTGCACTGCGCAGTAGTTCGCTCCGTCCTACTTTATGGCTGTGAAACATCGCCAGTCAGAGTAGAAGATATTCGTAGGTTGCTTGTTCTCGATCATAGGTTTCTCCGAAGCATTGCTTGTGTATCCTGGGACAACCGAGTAAGAAATGCTGTTGTATGAAACGGGTCCAAGGTAAAGGTGGCAGGTCAATAGAATAAGTAATGATACTCCATCAGTTGAGGTGGTTGGGACATGTGTTACGAATGCCCAATCACCGACTGCCTCGTCGAGCTATGTTCTGCGATATAGGAATAGGTTGGACGAAAGCTAGGAGCGGCCAGACCAAAACATGGCACTAATCCATGCAGTCATTGACAACTGGATTGAGTCATGTTGGTAGGTGTCAACTACCTGGTTGGGGTCCGCGAGATGATAATAATCGATGGTTAGAGGCCCTGAATGACATGGCTCAAAACCGTTTGCGATGGTGCAGGCGCATTCATTCTTTGTGTTCTCTCAAATCCTGAATTTCTTAATTCCTCATCACCTTTATCTTTCTCTTTTCAAGTTTATTTCACCAGATTCTACTTCTTGAGTAATATCTTCGAACTCCAATCTCTCCGATTACTGCTAATACTTCCACTACCTCTACTTCTATTGAATTTGAAGTGACAATTGCGTCGTTGTGCTTATGTGGTATAGGAGTAGGATGTAGGAGGAGGTTGGAAGAAAGTTAGGGGCGGCCAAACCAAAACATGGCACAAATCCATGAAGTCACTGACAAGTGGACTGAGTCATGTTGGTAGATGTAGACTAACTGGTTGGGGTCCGCGAGACGAAAGTCATCAATGGTGAGAGACCTTGAACGACATTGCTCAAAATCGTTTTCAATGGCGCAGGTGCATCCACTCTTTGAGCTCTCGCAAATCCTAATCTTCTGGATTCGTCAGCACCTCTACCTTTGTCTTTCTAACTTTATCTCACTGAATTATATTTCTTGAATAATATCTTCGAACCCTAGTCTTCTTTATTAACATTAATACCTCTACTATCTTTATCACTATGGGATTTGATTTGACATTTGCGTCTCTGTGCTAATAATGTGGTATGGCAACATCAACTTATGTACATACGTACGAAGTTCTACGTTGCAACCGACTGACTGACTGACTGGTATAGTAACTTGAACCGATGTATGTACGACATTCTTTATTGCTATTGATAGATTGTAGTAATGATATGTCAGGTTGTTAAGCGCTGAAAGATGAGGGTTTGAATGTTACGTGGAGTTTTGATTACTCTAATATCTTTGGTACCTCTTTCGCAATTGTAGGTGACAAATATCACGAAACCTAAGCTGATCATAATTACCTGTCGATTAATTCGAAGGAACCACTAAAATTTACCTTTAACTTTTGTAATCATTAATTGTTCGATAAATGTACAGTTTATTTTTACCGTTTTTTCCCTCTACTTGTCAATATTTATTTTTACTTTTATATATATGTGTATAAAGTCGAAAAGAACGTTTCAGAAATTTTATCTACCAAAAATATGTTTGATCAGCATATTTTGGTTGATTATATTTTTAATAATTACTTGGAAAGTGTATGTGGAGCATCATGAACCAGTATTTGATTTTCTAGAATATACGGAACTTCTAATTGTAAGTTAATGTTGCTTTGTATAAATGATATATATATATATATATATATATATATATATATATATATATATGTCTTGGTTTAAGAAAAGTTTTTTCTCTAATTGTGTTACATTTTTGTCTACGACTTGACATTAGCTAGACATTCATTAACACCAAGAAAGTACCTAATAGTTTCTTCGCTACAATCCAGGACTCCTATACCATGCACATCCATGATCTCCTCATATCAGGGTGAGTTCCAGACTTTTACATCTTGTATTGAGAAATGCTTTTCCAGTAAATGTCAGACTGTGGTGTAAACACCTTATAATAAATAACTCTACAAAAAGCAAGTGATTAAACAATGATTGTGTAGTCAACATTCAAGCTAGCTTTGGAATGAACTTTTGTCAACATCCTAGTCGGAACCGATGATCATATTGTAGTCGTCCAACAAGTGAAAAGCAAAGGGTATGACTTATCCATAACATCAGTTCCGAATTATAGTAAATGAGAATAGACGATAAAAGTTAGAACCATACACCTTAGGATTTAAACCATAGTAGCGTAATAGTATCGTTTCGGTCTTGATAATTGTAAGGTGTTCTTATATTGATTAATTTCTTGCATATTTTCTGATTATTGAGGAAAATCCAATATACAAAAAGATTCGTTTAATCGTGATCTTTAGTGAATTGTTTTCCTGACAGTGAAAGTAAACAAAGTTGGAAAATAATTTTTACCTCTTGCCTCTCTATCAAAATCATTAAGTTGTTTATTTTCTTTGTCTTTTCATCGTTTGTTTTAGTTCATTGTAGTTTTTATAAGTCTATTTGGCTTTATCTATTTGGTACTGCTAACTGTGCTGTTGATTCGAGCCTGTCATAAATTAAGAAAATTGCCATATTTTAGTGAGTGATTGTTATTTTTGATGATTTTATTTTTCTAACAACGTATTCTAGTCTGTGTACAGCAAATCGTCCTGCATCTAATCTGGGGACAGTATAAACTCATTCATGAGTCTTAATTACCATATTGTAACATACAGCAGAAGGGAAATAATTTTGATTCCTCTATGTATCATAAATGAGATAAAAAAGGCGGGACTTTCGGGTAACTTTATATTCCGAATAGAAGTTAAAAATTAAAATGGAATAACTCTGCTTATATTATATATATATAGTCATGGTTAACCAACGAGCCTGCTTGCACATACACATCGCTGCTTTTTAGGCAACGCAAGGATTCTCACTGTAGCCAACAGTAATCACCCCTGCCCCAATCGGGAACATACATGTTGTCCAGTTTGGTCTGGAGACAAGTGGACGTTCAAAAAGCACGCACACGAACAGTGGCCCTCGCTCGGGCACTTATGAATAAACAAAATCCCTCCAACCAATCCACTACCCACAATCCCCAATCGGCGAGGGCGGCAAGGCGGGCTTACCCAGCTATACCTGGCACCCCGAAGCGGATTACCAAGCCACCCAAGCAGTGCACTAACCAGCAGCCATTCCAACCGTCTGGCCTCCAACTGCCTTGCGCTGATACAATTGATCGGAGTCCCCAAGGCCCCACATAAAGCCAAAGATCGAGTTTGTCCCACAAGGTCATCTAGAACTTACACCTTTCCATGAGCGGAATCAGTCAGTCAGTCAGTTGCAACGTAGAACTTCGTACGTATGTACATAAGTTGATGTTGCCATACCACATTATTAGCACAGAGACGCAAATGTCAAATCAAATCCCATAGTGATAAAGATAGTAGAGGTATTAATGTTAATAAAGAAGACTAGGGTTCGAAGATATTATTCAAGAAATATAATTCAGTGAGATAAAGTTAGAAAGACAAAGGTAGAGGTGCTGACGAATCCAGAAGATTAGGATTTGCGAGAGCTCAAAGAGTGGATGCACCTGCGCCATTGCAAACGATTTTGAGCAATGTCGTTCAAGGTCTCTCACCATTGATGACTTTCGTCTCGCGGACCCCAACCAGTTAGTCTACATCTACCAACATGACTCAGTCCACTTGTCAGTGACTTCATGGATTTGTGCCATGTTTTGGTTTGGCCGCCCCTAACTTTCTTCCAACCTCCTCCTACATCCTACTCCTACACCACAAAACATAGCTCGTCGAGGCAGTCGGTGGTTAGGCATACGTAACACATGTCCCAACCACCTCAACTGATGAAGTTTCACCACTTCATCTATTGATCTGCCATCCTTACCTAGTACTCGTTTCCTAACGACAGCATTGCTTACTCGGCTGTCCCACGATATACGAGCAATGCTTCTTAAACATCTATGATCGAATACTAGTAACGTACGAACATCTTCTACTCTTAACGACCATGTTTCACAGCCATATAAGAGAACGGAACGAACTGCTGCGCAGTACACGCGCCCTTTGGTTAGCGAACGGATATCACGCCTACGCCATAAGTGACGCAGGTTAGCAAAAGCCAATCGAGCTTTCTGTATCCGAGCTGAGATTTCGTCAGTCACCAGACCGTCAGCACTGATGAGACTCTCCTGATAAGTGAATCGGTCTACACGCTCGACTACTTCACTCCCTATCACTAGTTCAGGTGCCAATGCAACCCAGTCTTGAAGCAACATTTTGCATTTCGAGGGGGAAAACCGCATGCCGAACATGCTCGCATTGTTGCTTAGGGTAGTCAGAAGACTCTGCATTTTGTCAGCGTCTTCACCGAATAGAACAATGTCATCGGCATATTCTAGATCAGTAAGCGACTTTCCTTTAACTCTAAGAGGATGTCTACGACAAAGTTAAACAAGAATGGAGAGAGTGGATATCCCTGACGGACACCACTTGATGTAGAGAATTCCGATGACAGTTCGCCATATGCTCTCACCCGACCAGTGGTGTTCGAGTAGAGTGCTTGTATAAGGTTAATGTACTTCTTTGGTACACTTTTCAATGACAGACACTGCCACAGAACTTCACGATCCACTGAGTCAAATGCCGCCTTAAGGTCCAGGAAAACAACTATTGTAGGACGCCTAAATGTGTGTCTGTGTTCCAGGACCTGTCGTAGTGTGAAAATGTGGTCTATACAACCACGTCCAGGTCGAAAACCAGACTGGATTTTTCGAGTCTGCTCTTCACGAGCTCTAGTTAGACGTCCAAGTATAATCGAGGCTAACAATTTAGAAACTATATTAGTTAAACTTATTCCCCTGTGATTGTCACAAGAAGACTTTTGTCCTTTCTTATAGATTGGGACAATCAGTGATTGAGACCAGTCGGATGGGATTGCGTCCAGTTCCCAGATTCTACCTAAGATCTCAGTCAACCTAGCTGATAAAACTGGACCTCCATCCTTAAATATCTCAGGGGTCAGTCTATCAGGACCTGCAGCTCGACCTCGCTTCAGATTTCCTAACGCTTTTTCAACTTCATTAAGACTAGGCGGACTTACGTCGGTTTGCCATTCAGGATGACTGGAGATCGTGGGTAACCGAAGAGTGGCTCGAGGCCAGTTGAACTGATCCCTAAAGTGTTCTGCCGATCGGTCCAGTCTCCTGGATTGAGAATGGATAATAAGACCATCCTTTTCCGAGATAGTCTCACTCACATTCGGGTTCCGAATACCGGTTTCTTTAATAAGGCGGAAATGTTGTCTAGTGTTGCCGATCGCCGCTGCCTTTTCCATCGCTTTTGCTTTCGCCACCCACCACTGTCCACGGTCGTTACGTAGGCTTTTTATAAGTCTGCGCCTAAGCTGACTACGCTCTTCATCATGTTCAGAGCCAGGTGTGATGAGTTTTCGAGCATCCATCAGTTCGGTGGATGCTACTGAAATCCACGGCTTCATCCTAGCATTGTGGTTTACCTTGCTAGCAGATATCACTACTGTTTCCACAGCCTTCTTGATATGATTCCAACCTGCCTCCGGATGAGGATTACTTGCATGGCCGCCTAACTGTTTTTCTAGTTCCTCCTGAAATATTTTCTTAGCTTGATTATCATCAAGTAAAGCCCTAAGAGACTTTCTTACGGTTTCTTTCCTACGTCCAGTAAGCCTCAAACAGATGCGCTCGCACTAGGGCATGATCTTAAACTAAACATGTACCCAGAACGAGCGACAGTCCTTTATCGAACCTCTCCATCGGTGGCTGATGGCGATGTGATCTAGTTGAGTCCAACTTTGAGACGACTTTGGGGGTCGCCAGGTCAAAAGGTGCTTTTCCTTATGCCTAAAGTTAGTGTTTGCTAAGAATAGGCGGTTATCTGAGCATAGTTGCAACAGACGGTCGACATTGTGTGTTCTTTGAGCCGCGACACCGTAACATCCACCTAGATGTCTTTCATTCTCGCTTAGTCTACCTACTTGAGCATTGAAGTCACCAGCCATTAGAACTATATCAGAGCGCCTAACTTTTTGGAGGAGGTCCGAAAGGTTTCTGTAAAACTCATCTTTTACATCATCTGGGCTGCAGTCAGTGGGGGCGTAGGCTGATATGACGAAGAGGCAACGACGAGTGTCCCTATCTTTCCGAGCCCTTACTGTCCCGTTCAGTCGGACGGCGCACAAGCGACTATCTACAGGGATCCAGTCTAGGAGAGATTGTTCTGCCCTACGACTCAATGCTATACCTACACCGGCGAGGCCCCTAGAAGCAGCATCAGGGCTACCGGATACACGAAGGGTAAATCGAGTTGCTTCTTTATCTTGACATGGTGAGGTCAAATGAGTGATGCTTCTCGGATCCTGTATGCGCGTTTCCGAGACGCAACACACATCGATGGAACGAGATTCTAAAGTCCTAGCTAAGGAAGCCTGTTGCCCTATTTGACACAATGTCCGTACATTGAATGCTGCAACATGTAGTTTGGAACGGGGTTTAAGGAGACCAGGAACGACGTTTCGCAAAGTCGTATCGTTTGCATTAGCTGTGCACTGTAATAAATGAATGTGAGAAGAGTTAGTTGTGGAGATAAGAGAGGTATTAGGGAATGTAGGAAAGATTTGATTCTGAACAATTTGGTCTCGTGTGCTGTTGCGGGTATGAGGGCGGTTATCACTTCCCGGCTGCCCACACCGTGGAAGGTTGTTTCTTGAGGAACCTGAAAAGGAAGATGGATTAGTGTTGGTGCGTGACCGCAGAGTCCAAGGGACAACTGCTTGAGGCCGGTCACGCACGGCCTTTTTATGAAACGTTGTTTGAGGATTAGCTCCGTTCTTAAAGGCCCTTAGTGGGCACCCTTACCCAAGGAGACGGAAATCCGTGAGGTGGGGGAGGTGTGACATTTTTAGGGCCGACCTTTTCTAACCCTTCCTTCCTTGTGAGAAGGGGCAGCATCGCTGCAGATGCTGGTTGTCCGAGGGAAACACCTTACTGCTATCACACCCCTCTACAGGCAGTCAGCAGTACGACTTCGCCCTCAGACCTTGAGTAGCTGCTTTTAGTCTCATCGTTCTCCACTCGACCTGCCTGGCATGGTAGGACTTTCAGGAACATGTGTTCCAGCCAGTATAGCTCGGTTGGGTCATCACGATAGTCAAGCCCGACCACCACATCAAGGTAGCAGCTTCGGTCGGGGAATGTCATCAGCTCGGCCAAACAGGGTTCATCCCACCACGTAAGCGGGCAGACATCATTGGCGTGCAGAACCAGTTCATCACTGGATCTCCGGAAACCTACTGGAGACCCTTGTTTAAGGAGCTTCGACGTCAGTTCACACACTACATCGGGTGCAGTGTGTGAGGGACAACCACATAGGGTCGGCGTCTATAGTCCAGGATGTCTACGGCTGCCAGATCATCTGCGAAGTCCAGATCGTCCAGTTGTTACCGTGCTTCCTTCCAGATGTTGACGGTTTCATAATCCAGTCGATGACCAGGAGAAAGAGAAAGGGTGAGAGTAAGCAACATTCCCTGACACC